TGGAGCCATCTCGAACATACCCTTTTAGGGGCGTGGCAACCATATTAGGATAAAAGGGGGCGGGGTTTTCATTATGCCCACCATGGAAATATTGTTCCCACATTCACAGAGAAATGGAACTTTCCACAGACATTGACATTCACGAGAAAACAAATTCAAGATGTGGAGCCATCGCGAACACACCCTTTTAGGGGCGTGGCAGCCATATTGAAAAAAAGGGGCGGGGTTCTCATTATGCCCAGCATGGGAAAAATGTGCCCACATCTCATGAACGAATTAAGCTAATTCCCACTGACATTGATATTCACGAGAAAAAAAATCAGACGTGGAGGTATCGCAAACACACCCTTTTAGGGGCGTGGCAGCCATAGTGTGTGTCACATAAAATTAATATTACACACAGCACCAATGCCTGACCTACAATTAAAAGCGTCAGGGCGTCGGGGAATTGTCAGGTCAGGGAACCAGACTACTCACAGTACTCTCTGACTGAATGTCACTTGTGCAGTAGACTTGTATGCACAAGTCTCAACTTGACCAAATTGGTCTGGGACCAGCTTTTATAGGCTTGCCTATATATAGTCTTGTATTAACAACACGCGTATGAACCCAGAACACGATTGTCTTCATTCAGATATGTTTTATAGCACTTCAGTTGCAGTACGAAGGAGAAAGTAGGCAAGAGTTTTACGCTTAAAGTTTTGACAATTTTTTGTTGTATTTATTTCAATTAAAATTGGGGAAACAACGACTATGGTTTATACAAATATTAATTTTAAAGTTATCCTTCAACCACAACAAAGCTAATGACTAATGTGCGTCTTGCGTGTTGAAAATACGTGGGGCCTATGAGAAATAAGAGCTTATAAACCTAGTGATTAGCCATGGAATATCATATAAAGGCTATTATTATCGTGCACAGTCTTACAGTTCCTTCATACAAACCAGTGATTCTTTGAAACGCCTTACATGTATGCAGGTTTTATTTATCATCACCCGGCTCTAAAATACAACAGGCAAACACTGACACAAACAACCAAATCACAGCTTCATGCCATTGCTAACTTTGTTTGCGTGCTCCTGCTGAATCCGGTTCGGTAAGCCTATAAGCAAATGAACTCATTTTCAGTATATTTTGAAGAATCTTTTCGCCCTTGTGCTCTAGACTACTAGTCTCACAGGTAACTATCTTTGGGGTTTTTTCCCTACTTTTTTTGCAATTTTATTACCGGCTGATTTCTTTGTCCGTTGGAACATCCAACAACCAAATTTGAAATTGAACATGCCCCCAGAAAACCCCAAAACAATAAAGATAAATTAACAAAATACAACAGTCATAAGGTTGTAATCTGGAGCCTTCAAAATATTACTTTCTCCAAGGTAATCACGGAATGCATGCAAGCAGAAGAAATGAAAGTCGGTCATTTTGATTCATGGCATGCTCGATTGGAAGGTCGTATGATTTGGAAATCATTAATCGTACCTGGAAATGTATTCGATAGTCATAGATTGTGCGTACCAATGTCGACCCGCCCCCACCCCATTCCGCTACACACGTGCTTGTCAGTACCATTACATTATTTTCAATTAGAAAAAAATCTTCTAAAAATGATCGACAGTCAAAAAAGAATTATGACTAATATTTGTACGTTAATATCGAACATCACAGTGATTCTGTATTTTACGAAGAACTTCCTCGTGATGGTCGAGTACTTTGCGTGGTGTGTCACGTTGGTACTTAATTGTTACTATGAGGAATTTGTCCACCGATTTTATCGATCGAGACCGTTCCAACCAACATGAAAACGATCAACTAATGGTTATTCGGCCAACATCCACGCACATGAGGAACGGCGTCGAATGACGTCAGTTGTTTCTATATTGTCCGCCGTATGATCATTGCCCATCACGGTTTTCCTCTATTAAAACCATGAATTTATAATCCTTCTTATTTGCCCGCCTAGATTTCACAGTTGACCGTTATAAGCGACTTCTATCAATGAGTTCGATAACTTCTAAAGAGCTGCCGCAAGGCGATCCAAAAGTGCCAATAAAAAGCAGTTGCAATGGAGATTCTATTAACGTTATGTGAGCGTGATCGGAGTTGTAACTCCACGCTTTCGAGTTATCAAAAAGGAGAACCAAACTTTGATTGAGGCCAAATATCTTGTGAAGTATAGTGAATTCTTTGGCGCAAATATTTGTGATGACGTAAAATGCTTATCGAATTCTTTGTTTTCGAGGCTAGAAATATTAAGTTTTGGTTTTCTTGAAATCGCAAGCAGATGGTAAGTCTTTTCCAATGAGGTTCTATCTTTTAAAAAAAAAGAGAAAAAAAAGAGAGGATAACAACCAGTCATTGTATAGGCTATCATGCAGGAACATTTTGATGACAAACTTACTAAATCCATTTAAAGCATCGTGCATTGTCTTTGGGAATTTTTGATATACACAATGTTTCTGTCGCTGAAAAGAGGAAACTTTTGTTTCCCTGTACATATCTACCTTTGAAGACTGTTAGCCACAGTCAATACGATTATATGATCTATGCTCTGCAAACATGATCCTCAAAGGGGGCGCTGTTTATGATACAAATTGGACATGAACTTAATGCAAACTTGGGCGCTTACGTCCCTTAACCTCTCATGCATTCAAAAGGTTTGTAGTGTTTGTCCTCTGTTTTCATTTGGACCGTTGGAAAGTTACAAGATAACCTCAAAATCGGCATTGTTTAGTTTCTCTCCACAAACATCGGGGACGGGGGGAATGATTCAATTGCCCATCCCCCGGTCAAAAAGTTGGGGGATATATTCTCCCCATCTCCCGCGGGATTTACGCCCATGACCGTGCTTGTAGATATTTTGTGGCGCCTACAAACAAAACGACGCCTACAGACTTGTGCTCAAGTCTATCAAAATACATGCCTTGCTTAGCAGGTAATTGTTGCTTATTATTTGCAGTGGCGTAATATACGTGGAGGGGTGCCCCCCCCCCCCCCCCGTTTAAAATCTTGAATTGAACAAAAATATAATCAGACTGCCTTCAGTGCCGCCCTCACCTTGGAAAACTATGCACCCCAGGCGCCCCCTCAGAAGTTCAACGTTTAACACTACAGTTACGCCACTTTAAGACTAGACATTGAGTGTTTTGGACAGAGATACAGGAATGATGCGGCTGGGTTTTTTATTAGTCTTTTTGGCCCCAAAGCCGCCCTCAGTTTATTCTGAGTATCACCCGTTGTCCAGCGGAGCCCTCTCCGTACCGTATCCAACGTCTCATATCTGAGCAAAGCAAATTTTATGCGATACCGCGCCGTCGGCTTTAGAACTTGCGACGTCATTTCGATCAAAAATATGGACTAAGCTGTTGATTGGTAAATTTGGCTGACATATTTTTGTATACAACAATGGGATACTGAAGACCCGAAGCCGTTCACTGCATGGTCGGAATCTCGAGGTCAAGACGCAGTCTTCTTTTGCATAATTAATCGCCATGCTGTGCAAATATTCCATAATGGGGTGCTGTGGTCCAATGGTTACGGTGTTCGACTCGTGTGCCGTGGTACATGGGTTCGAATCCTGACCGTGGGAACATGGTGCTTGTGCTCTTGAGCAAGGCACTTTACCATTATTGCTTCGTCCTTCGGATGGGACGTAAAGCCGTAGGTCCCGTGTGTTGTGTAATGCACGTTAAAGAACCCAGTAACACTTATCGCTAAGAGAAGGGTTTGCCCCGGTGTTTCTGGCAGTGGCTGCAATATGCGCCGCAGTACCTTGTAAACCATTATAAGGTACTACATAATGGGTCTCATATTTCTCATAAACTTTATTTACCTTTCTTTAATAATAGACATAATTTCCAGCGCCTTGAGTACCTAATTGTTGGTAGATACGTGCGCTATATAAGACTCCGATATTATTATAATAGACTTCTCTCACTTCATGCATGGAAGGAATTAACTCGCTAAAGAAACAAAACGTAGCAGAGAAATATGTTGAAAAACACCTGTGGAACTATCATCACTTGGTAGGAACAGGAAAGTAGCAAAATATAAATGTGTCGTTTTGAAAATGATCTTAGGCAAAACTTTTATTTTGACCTAAACTCGAGAATCAGGACTGACGGACATTGGGCAGACAGTTATAGGGAATGTTAATATGTGAATACATCGTGCAACTTAAGTTAACCGTAAGTCGGCCGCGGTGAGTTTAACTGAAATACGTGACTTCCGGACACGTTGTGTTTTATTGGAGCTACAATGTGCGTAACGTCCTATTATTTTGGGAGTTGTTTTGTACGGAAACTCCAGAAGTGCCATCCTAGATGTTGAGATCCTGACATAATGTATCACGGGATGACATCTTACACGAAAAATGTCGACATCCTGAGATAATCTATTATCACGGGATGACGACATGTTTTAAGAGGGATGCCAACATCCTCGGATAGATCAATCACGGGTACCAGTAGGATCCCGACATCGTGAGACAATATATCACGGGATGACGGCATGCTGAAAGTAGAATGTCGACATCCCGAGATACCTTCGAAGGCTGTTTAGTGGAGTTATGAGAAAGCAATCCTACTTTCAGTCATCCCGTGATGAATGTCACAGGTTGTCGACATCCTACCCTTGGGATGTCGTTATCCCTATAGATACATTATCTGAGGATGTCGACATCGTATTTTTACGATGTCATCCTCCCGTGTAGGACGTTGACATCTTACGTGTAGGGTGTCGTCATCCCGTGAACAATTTTCTCAGCAGCTCAACATCTTGGATGGCACCTCCAGAGCTCCGTAGTTTGTTTTGCCGGTACTTGGCAATAAATGTATATTCCCTGAATATGCCGCATATCCTGTCACTGTAGTTAGTTACGAGTAAGTTTCTGGGGTACCGACGAGACGTTCACATGAGAGCTTGCACGCCCAGTTGGTCTGTGGCCAAACTGGTCGACCTTGCACCAACAATCACTCGTTAATAACGGTCGAGTGCTTCAATTCAGTGACAGATTAGGCAACAGCGTGACGTGTTTGCGATGAAAATCTCGCGTGAATACTGATGAGCATTATTTTTGGTCACAATACCATTTCCTGGATGGAAATCTGTACAGTGTGTGAATTGAGCTGACTTAATAGCGATGTTGGCCTATAAATTCAGACTCACACGTTCCACATAGTTAAACTCCTAAACGCCTGCAACTTGGGAATCTTGAGTCGGAAACGAGCTGTTCTTGGTTTTGGCATGGAGGAATAAGAACTTGGTCGAGTCTCCCTTCTGATTCACAATCTGCCCCGCTTGTCAGGGAAGATGGCTCAGTCAATGTGGCTTATTTTCTTTAGTGTGCTGCCTGCTTTGTACGTGGTGGATACGATGCCGCATGGCAGCAGCGTCGGTCAAGGTAAGTTACAGCACTTCAAAATAACGCCGGTAATTGGCTTCTGACACTGCCCCCCCCCCCCCCCCCCCCTGCTGACTGACTTTACTTAGTAAGGGAAGGGCTACTGACTTTATAACACTGACTCACTATCTCACCCAGGGGCGGATCCAGGCATTTTTGCACGGGGGGGGGGTCAGGCCGGTCAGAGTTTTTATTTCTGATTGTTGCGGACAGACGGACATATAGGTAATAGCACATTGTTACTGATGCACTTATTGTTATAATTTTGTTGGGGTGTCAGAGCGCTAGCGGGAGGGGGGGGGGGTCGACCCCCATACACCCCACCCTTTCTGGATCCGCGCCTATCACTCACTGACTCACTGAGGAGTAATGATGTCTCACACAACATCAACTGTTGCCAAACTTTCTGGTTCAGCTATATAGCCGAGCCTATAGTCTTGTTGAATCAATAGACTGGAAATGACTGCAGGAAGTGCTAGAATTATATTTTTGTCTTGCAGAACATAATAACTACCGCGTAGTGTGTTATTTCACGAACTGGGCTCAGTACCGGCCGGGAGCGGCACGTTTTGTGGCCGATAACATGGACCCGAGTCACTGCACACACATGATCTTCAGCTTTGCCAAGCTCAGCGACTCCAACACCAACCGTCTGGAGCCCTATGAATGGAACGACGAGTCAACAGACAACCTGGTCGGTAATTACGAAGCCATGAACAACCTGAAGCAGTACAACCCACGTCTCAAGACCCTACTGGCCGTGGGAGGCTGGTTGCACGGGACGCAGAAGTTCACCTACATGGCCGAGACGGTCGCCAGGAGGCAGGTCTTCATCCAAGACGCCATCCAGTATGTCCGAGAGAGAAACTTCGATGGACTTGACCTGGATTGGGAGTTTCCAGGGGCAGAGAACAGGGGAAGTCCGGCTGTCGACAAACAACGATTCACGCTTCTTGTTCAGGTTCGTACCTAATGTTAAGTTCACACATTCCCGATTTTTAAGCCGAATCGCCGCGAATAGCAATTCTTGAGTGAATCGGCCGGGGAATGGTTCTTGGCTGCCTCGGGATGATTCTGTTAGTTCGGTGAAAGATTGTCAAAGATCGGGAGCGCCCCGACAGTTATGGACATGTTCAAAATTGTCGGGGCAATGCGGGAACCAATTTCAATCTTGTTGTATTCGTAACTAATTCTGGATATTCTTACACTCAGCATTCTTACAAGTTTCGTAGAGTTATTTTTGGTGGCAACAGTCCAGAATCATGCCGAATCATTACGAATGTATCAATAAATGTACGAATATTATTCATAATAACTTACGAATACACTAGGATTTTGTTAAGAATAAATAAGAATAATCTAAGAACTTAGCAAGAATGAATCACGAATAATGCTGAACTATCCAGATTTTCCGATAAGAATTTATTAAGATTAACCAAGAATCAAGTAGAATTTAGTACGAATTGATCCAGAATAGTCCCGAATGATGTGGATATCTACGCTGCTCGGCAACTGGAACTGACTGACGATGAGCGCTTGTCTGGATCGGTTATACCGGGATCGCCTGGATTCTGGATTCCGCTTCGTTCTGCATGATTCTGGCTTGTTCTGATTGAAATCGGCTTAGTTCGGGGTTGTTCAGGAATGTTCGCATTACATTCGGCTTATTCGGTCTTTGTTCTTATTAAATTCGGAATGAAATCGGCATAATTCTGGGTCATTCTGGATGATTCTGGAGTGAGTCATATATTATTCTTGACAAAATCGCTACAATTTTATTCTGCACTAAATCGCAATCATTCGGCTTGATTCGGTCTGATTCGGCTTCCAGTTCGTACCTAGTTCTTGATTATTTCTGTTTCATTCTTAAGTTATTCTTACAAACAGCGCATCGGGGCTAATTTCTCCCGATGCCATTTTGGGGAATGCGAGATCGTTAAAGTCAAGTGTCACTCACTCCAATTTTGTTCCGATGTGTGTGTCCGGTACTGTCCAACTGTTCTCCCGCACGGCGGCTGGCCGAAGAAGTTGCCTGGACTACCGCGAGACGAAACCGGTGCTAGTCCCGCGAATATATATTTACAAACGTTCACAAGGTTACCGACGGACGGACGAAGACGACGAGAATTAACTAACTAGTATAAAACTTGGAATTGTTGACGAATAACGATGATAAACTGGCAAAAACTTGGCACTTCAAAATTACAGGAACGCGACGATAATAAGACGTTAGAAAGAAGGGCACGTCCTTCGCACGTGTTTGTGAACCAACGAAAAATCTATGTGAAACGCGTATTATGTACAGGTACCAGCGACACGCGAAAGTGCTGACAGGTCAAAGTATGACGAAATGCTGACAAAGGTCAGAGTTCGCGCGGGGTGGTCACCACATTAGCCCCCTCCTGAGAGCTTCTGGAAGAAGTGATCGAAAAAAACCCACATATATATACAATATTTACAGCGTTCAACCACAGTCGAACTGGAAGAGGTGCGCGGGCCAGTGAACCCGACGGCCGGGGCGTGTTGTTCGCTCGGTCGTGGTACTGTCCTGATCAACTGGAGCAGGCAGGGGAGGTGCCACCGGCGGGTTTTGAGGAGTTGGCACTGGCGGTTTTGGCGATGTTGGCAGTGGCAATCTATCCAAACTCACAGTGTCGCTCTTGCCGTTCATGTCCAGTGTATAGTATTTGTCTGCTCGCTCAAGTACACGATATGGGCCCTTGTACGGAGGTTCGAGTGGTTTGCGCACATGATCACATCGGACGAAAACGTGTGTGCAAGACAACAAGTCCTTGTGAAGCTGTGTGGTGCGGGTGTGCGGTCGTGTAGGTGCTGGCGCTATCTGACGCATGACGCGTTTGAGGCGATGAACATAATCTCCTGGGTCTAATCCAGCATCATTGACGGGTGCGACAAACTGTCCAGGGAGGCGCAATGCAGTTCCAAAGACGAGTTCCGCTGTCGAACACCCAATGTCCCGTTTGACGACTGTTCGGATGCCCAGCAGAACAAGCGTTTCCGTCCACCTGTTGGGCTCGTCCTGTGCTTTGAGTGAAGCTTTCAACTGTCCGTAGATCACTGGAAGCGCTCCACTAGTCCGTTTGCGATAGGATGGTACGACGTAGTGCGGATGCGTCGACTGCCAAGTAATGTTGTCAAGGCGTTGAACAGGGCTGATTCGAATTGTCGGCCGCGGTCGGTGGTGATTGTCGATGGTGTGCCATATCTTGTTACCCAATTGCTCACAAACGCTCTGGCGACAGTTTCGGCAGTTATGTCTGGGATCGGAATGGCTTCTGGCCACCTTGTGAAACGATCAATGCACGTGAGTGGGCCGACAATGTCAATATACACGTGGTCGAAACGGGCATCAGGGGTGATGAAGGTTCCTAGTGGTGTGATGGTATGCTGGTGCACCTTGGATTTCTGACAACGGATGCAGGTTTTAGCCCACGAACGAACATCGTGGTTCATGTTGGGCCATACAAAGCGTGCACTGACCAGCTTGAGAGTGGCTCTGATTCCGGGATGCGACTGGGAGTCGAACACTGCTCTTCGCATCACCTTGGGGACGAAGGGTCGAGGGGTTCCGGTAGCCATGTCACAAGCTAGGGTGTTCTTGCTTGCGACTAGTGGAATGTCCTGTAGCTGAAGAACCGACTGCTGTTTGTGTTGGAGTAAGTCCTCATCATTGCGCTGATGCTCGGTCATAACCTGGAAATCGATGGGAGATGATGGCATGGCAGAGAACGTGTTCAGGCTAATGCGTGACAACGCGTCAGCGACATCGTTGTGTTTACCCTGAACATGTCTGATGTCAGTTGTGTACTGCGACACGTAGTCAAGTTGTCGGATCTCGCGGGGGAGTATCTATCCGAGCTTGCAGCGAGTGCGTGTGTCAGCGGTTTATGATCTGTTAAGATGGAGAATGCGCGACCCTCGACAACATGGCGGAAGTGGCGGATGGCAAGGTAAGCCGCTAACAGCTCCCGGCCGAACGTGCTGTATTTGGTCTCCGCAGGTTGCAGCTTTCGCGAGAAGAAAGCAATGGGACACCAGATGCCATGTTCCAGCTGTTGCAGGACTCCACCCACGGCGAAATCAGAGGCATCGACCATCAGGCTTAACTCGGCATCGGATCGAGGATGGGACAAACGAGTTGCATTGATCAAAGCCAACTTGACTGCTTCGAAGGCATCGATTGCCGTGTGGGTCAGTTCGATTGTCTTCTTGGGTTTTCCAGCGAGTAGGTCGGTCAGAGGTCGTGCCAAGGCAGCACAGTGGGGTATGAAGCGGCGATAGAAGTTGACCAGTCCAAGAAATTCGCGCAATTTCTTGGTTGAATTGGGGACTGGGAACCGTTTGATCGCGTCAACCTTCGTGTCCAGTGGCCGAATACCGTCCTGGTCGATCTGGTGGCCTAGGAAGTGTAGTGACGGCACGCCAAATTCGCATTTGGCTGGATTCACCACAACACCGTACTGATCAAGTCGCTCGAAAAGCGTCCGAAGATGCGACTCGTGCTCCTCTTCGCTATGGCTGGCGATGAGTAAATCGTCGATGTAGGCGTATACGAAATCCAACCCATGCAACACTTTGTCAATGAAACGCTGAAACGTCTGGGCTGCGTTCCGCAATCCAAAAGGCATGCGCAAGAATTCGAACATGCCAAATGGAGTGGTGATGGCCGTCTTCGGAATGTCACTCGGCTCTACGGGGATTTGATGGTATGCTCGGACTAAATCCACCTTCGAGAAAACAGTCTGGCCATGCAAAGACGAAGTGATGTCATGTACATGTGGGATTGGATAGCGATCAGGGACGGATGCATTGTTCAGAGCGCGGTAATCCCCGCATGGTCTCCAATCACCCTGTGTTCCTTTCGGCACCATAATGCAATGGCGATGACCAACTACTATTGGAGGGACGGATGATGCCCAATTGTAGCATGTGGTCGAACTCCGCCTTGGCGATTTACAATTTGTCCGGAGCAAGGTGCCGTGGCCTGGCGGATACAGGAGGGCCTTTCGTTGTGATGTGATGGGTGACATCATGTTTGGGTATTGCATCCTTGAAGCAAGGTTTGGCAATGGCAGGGAACTGACCCAAAATGGCTGTGTATCGAGTGTTCGGGGATAGGCCAGCAAAAACAGGGCTGAGAACATTGGTGCTTGTTGCAATGCCTTGTATGCTAAGACTAGTCGTTGAATCTATGAGTTTTCTGTCTTTCATGTCGACCAATAACCCGAAATGGCGTAGGAAATCTGCTCCCAAAATTGCAACTGGTACATCAGCAATTGTAAAAATCCACCTGCATGTACGCCTAAGACCCAAATCAATTGTCATTGAACGCTCACCGTATGTGTGAATCCGTGTCTTGTTGACTGCCTCGAGCACAAAATCACTCCTTCAGCACTGCTTGTCTCGTGGCGTTGGAGGGAGGATGCTGACCTCAGCACCGGTGTCCACGAGGAACTTGGAGCCTGGGATTTTGTCATACACATGGAAAAGGCGACATTGATTGGGTGTGCCAGTGGATGAAGTCGCCCTTATCCGCTGGCCTGCTGGTTTCCCTGGGCCGTGTTGGAACTGTGGTTGCGTGTGTAGTTGCATGGTTCCTTGCAGTTACGAGCTTTGTCCCCGTATTTCCAATGGTACCAGCAGGAATCAGAAGGGATGTCCCCCGACGCGGAAGAACTGCGATCGCGTCTGTGCTGGCTTTGGTCGCGACTGCGGCTCCTCGACCGACCGTGTTGATACTGGTTCTGGCGCACCAACAACTCCATTTGGGCCGTGAGCTTTTCGACTTGAGCTTGACTGCAGCAACAAGTGCTGGTGCTGGAACGGCAGCACAGGCCTGAGCTGATGACGGGGAAACTTCGACGATTTTGTCCGTGAGCTTAGCGAGTTGTGCGATGTCGACGTCGCTTGTCGAGGCCAAGATCAGTTGGATGTTTGTTGGCAGGCGTTGCATGAACAACTGCTTCAGGATTGCAGGCTCCAGTGTGTTATCGCCGAGGAGTTGTTCCATGGTTCGAAGTAACTGCGAGGGCTTCTTATCCCCAAGCTCTTCTGTAGTCAACAGTTTCTGGAGGCGCTTTCGCTCCGACTCGCTAGTGCGTTTGATGAGCTCCTCCTTCAGTTTGGAATATGGGTTATCAGCCGGTTGGTTGACTAACAGGTCCCTTACTTCCTGCGCAATGGATGGTTGTAGAGACGCGATTACGTACGAGTATTTCGTGAGTTCCGATTTGATACCACGGGTAAGAAACTGCGCCTCAACTTGTGCGAACCATATCACCGGGTCGTTGGGCCAGTACGGTGGGAGTTTCAAGGCTACTGCACTGACTGGTGATGCTCCAGAATCTGGGTTTTGCGGCTCCGATTTGGTAGTCATCGCACGTTTTTGGGTCACCACTTTGGGGAATGCGAGATCGTTAAAGGGAATATACATCATTTGCTTTTGCTGTAATTTTCAGAAATGGATGGAATTGGGGGGTTGGAAATATATAGCAAATATAGTTACACTGACTTTTTTGAGGTTTTGGGTTCGAAAATGCTATCAAAACCAAGAAAAACAATCATTTGCCTGTAGTCTGGTTCCCTGACTCCATATAAGAAGAAACAGAGCAGTTTACATAAATTGGGGAATTGTAAGGTCAGGGTACCAGTCTAGCTGGCTTGTACCCGTTCATAGGTGTGTAATCGATTGCAAACAAGTGCGATGGTCAATTGGGGCCAGTATTTGAAAAAAAGCCAGTTTTTTCCAACGCTGGTCGGCCGACCGACCAGCGTTGGAAATTGATACAAAAATACCACTTTTCTTGAAAATGACAGTATACCAGGTGCCATGATTTTACAGGATGCTTTACACTGTCATTCACTAACAGTCCAGCAAGGTATTTCAAAATGATTTGGTAGTTTTATTTTTTGATGTTTGCAAATGTTGTATTTTCCCTTTAAAGTCAAGTGTCACTCACCCCAATTTTGTTCCGATGTGTGTGTCCGGTACTGTCCAACTGTTCTCCCGCACGGCGGCTGGCCGAAGAAGTTGCCTGGACTACCGCGAGACGAAACCGGTGCTAGTCCCGCGAATATATATTTACAAACGTTCACAAGGTTACCGACGGACGGACGAAGACGACGAGAATTAACTAACTAGTATAAAACTTGGAATTGCTGACGAATAACGATGATAAACTGGCAAAAACTTGGCACTTCAAAATTACGCGACGATAATAAGACGTTAGAAAGAAGGGCACGTCCTTCGCACGTGTTTGTGAACCAACGAAAAATCTATGTGAAACGCGTATTATGAACAGGTACCAGCGACACGCGAAAGTGCTGACAAGGTCAAAGTATGACGAAATGCTGACAAGGTCAGAGTTCGCGCGGGGTGGTCACCACACCATCAAGAATTTTTATTCGGGATAATAAAGTTACTTTGCTTACATGCTTACATTAAGCCAAACAGATAACTATAGCGTGGAAGGCAAAGTTTCCCGTTAACAGATAATAGTCCGTGGGACGGTGACGAAAGCCCGATCCGAAAGTGCTTTATTAGTTTCTGAGATACGTGATCTGGTCCGCCGAATTTGATAAAAACCTTCCAGATAAATAACTTGTCGTGTACTTTATCGAATAAACCGTGTGCCCGCTTCCACAAGTAGTTTGGAAATGAGAAAATCTTCGATAAAACACTCAAGAATTCTGCATGAGGGGAAAAACATATTAAGAAAAAGCGCCCACTATTGGCATAGTGAATGAACGTTTTGCACGCAGTGCGTGCGGGCCTGCCTTCCTGAATCTTTCTTTAATGATGGATTCTAACTTTTTGTATTTGTCATTTCTTAAGCAAGCCTACAAAAAATACTTCATTACAGTTATGTTCAATTTGAAATGATCAGGGATCCCCTTAAGGTTTAAGACCGCTGGTAATTTATAAGCCTATATAAAAATCGATGTGTTAAACCCAAGAGCCACTGAGAATACCGTCAATTCTTATAAGGTAACACTAACTATTCAATTTGTTTCCTACAAAATTAATAACGTGTAGCTCCTCCAGTTCCACCACTGCTACTGGAGGCGCCGTTCAAAGCAGAAGATATATAAAACCCCATTTGACAATAGGGGGCCTCTTCGTTGTAAAGGCAAACAAAGCAGTGAAACGGCTATTTTTTATTTAATTATTCATGGCACCTGCCCCCTCCCCCAAGACGCCACTATTCACATTTTCCTCACTTGTATAACGTATATTATCCGTGCTGTAATGAGATTGTTTTCATATGGAATCGAATTCCTTGATTGATAGGCTACACAAAATCGAGTGCTATAGCGCAAAAACAATGTATCTGTACAAGGATAAATGTACAACTTTGGAAGAAAATGTTTTCTTCTTCTTATGAATGGTGTCTTCAATCAAAGGTCATAATGACGTAATAGTTATGGAATCCAACAGGAGCTACGTGCAGCCTTTGAAGAGGAGGCATCGATTACAGGTAGAGAGCGCCTCCTATTGACGTCGGCTTGCTCATCGGTGCCATTCGTCATCGCAAATGGCTACGAAATTGCGGCCATCTCAAGGTGAACTATTAACCTTTTGTTCATTCTTTTAATTTGAAATAATAATGGTTGAGTTCAAAAGCTTCAATTCATCACTTTTTTTCGCGACAAGTTGTTTTTTCTTGTCTTACTTTTCAATATAAGACATTTCATACACAATTTTGTACGGTAACTTACAATTTTTTCCCGTGTCCGGGTCTTTGCTTAAAGGTAATGGGCACCATTTGTAAATATTCAGAAATTAACATTGAAATTCCATGAAATAGCCTTCTTGATTGTAAGTGAATAACAGGAGCAAGTGTCTTATAATGCTGTCATTTTCGAGAAAAGGGGAATTTCTCATCATTTCCTCGCGAGATCGAGGAAAGACCAAACCTTCGCGCTTTCATCGCAAACCCATTCTTTGCGTCGAGAACAATGGAGATGAATTTTCACAGTTTTCTCAAAAAGTATGGCATCTACTGAGCTGACATTACTTAAGTTTTTTAATATAACCTGCCTCATATTTATTGTTTTTGAATCAGCAAAAACGGTGTTTTTTTTCTGAAATGGTGTCCATTACCTTTAAAAAATTACAGGTTCCCGTGTAAAAACCTTTACAGGCACACTAAATTTAAGATTCGTCCAAAGTGTTTGTGATTCTTGTTCGAAACATTTGAAAGAAGTGATACCAAATATTGTTATGGGAAGAGTAATGGGCCCTACTTCTTCACTGTGTTTTTAAATTCGCTTTTATACGACATGCTTGTCAATGACCTTCTGCAGTGCCCTAGATTTCATCAACTTGATGGCGTACGATTTACACGGTTCATGGGAAGGCACTACCGGCCACCACACATCGTTGTACCCTGGTATGTCAGATGTCGGTGACAATCGCCTTCTTACTGTGGTATGTCTTCGTTTATCTTCCCTATTCTTGAAATTTACCTTTTAAGTCTCCATCAAAATGATATTATCTATTATGGTCGTCTTTCTTCTTCTTTTTCAAAATAAATATCTGATAACCGTCTACTCTTTTGGTTCTGTCAATGTGTACCCACTGTGCATGTTGGACCCATAAATTTGCCTGAGTAGGATGATGAATCGTGCATGATAATGAATTATTCGCAGGAAAATGAATAGATTCCCTAAACGTGCGATAGATTATTCTTGTTTCCAAACAAGCTATAAACTTTCTGTGCTTTGTTTCTTCCAGTCCAACGCCGTCGATATTTGGCTGAAGGGCGGGACGCCACCCTCTAAGCTTGGCCTAGGGATGGGTCTGTATGGCCGCTCCTTCAACCTTACCGGCCAGGCGACCGGCATAGGTGCTCCCGCTAGCGGGGCAGGTACGCCCGGTGGTTCCACCCAAGAAGCCGGTTTCCTGTCTTATTACGAAGTAAGGAGAACAATGCACCCCTAAAAATATACGATGCATACAAGGGTTGCTGTCATGGATGAATAAAAAACTGCAGGCCAGCCGGGGCTCTCAGTGAGACACTGAATGACATTATAGGGACTGCTCAGCTTTTCTTGATGGGCATCCTGTTTACAAAAGAAAATAGCGAGGTCCTCAATTTCAGAGATTATTTGAAATCATCTATTATGTAGATGTATCACAATAATTGTAATAAGTAATCAATATGCGATTTTTTGGGGTCAAAATGACAGATTTGTGAAAAACTCCAGGATGGCCGGCTGACACGGGTTTGGGATCCGGAACGTCAAGTTCCATATGCCTTCCAGGACAGCCAATGGGTTGGCTATGACGATCCACAGAGCATCCAAATCAAGGTATGGTCACCAATAAGGCCTTTTTGATGATATGATAAGACATGACACAAATAATAACAATATAGTGCCTATGCCAGAACACTCTCTCGAGAAGGGGTGGGCATATGAAACAACAAAAACCATACTTTCCAGTGTTGTTGACTCGAGTCGCTGACTCGGACGCGAGTCGGACTCAGTCGCTATTTATTTTGACTCGAGACTTGACTTGACTTGACTTGGGGAAAAAATGACTTGAGACTTGACTTGACTCGAAAAAATATGACTTGAGACTTGACTTGACTCGAATAAATTTGACTTGCTGACATGAACACGTTTCTTAAAGTTCCAAAAAACAGAAACCCCTGGGCGTTCGTGCACATTGCATAATCGGTTGAAAAGAATCAACAGAATCTATGCAGATCATGCATAGCGAATTAGCAACCAGCATGCGATAGCTGGGAATCATGAGCCTGCCACACGTCATGTACATGACTGTCTGTGTGCGTGTGTTATGATACTTGTACTCAAGCTCATGCAAGGTGAAGTTTGTGCCGTGCGTATAGTCCGAGTACCGTCCGTTGTTAGAGCAGTACGTCATTCCATAGAGACCATAGGTTATACGTACACATTGAGTGGTTTACCGGTAAGCTTGCTATAAAATAAATGCAACTGGGGTTTAAACGACTGGAAAACGGCTGATACCCTTAATTCGCCACAAAGCAACGAGAATTCACATCATGTATTTAACGAAAACGTTTGGAAGGACATTTTGTCTGACGTCTTTCAAACATTCAACATGATGGAACTAGTTTGAAAATATTGGACAGGATATTTGAAAAGTACGATTTTTTAATCTCCTTACATTCCCTACTCCGGCTCCATCGTCGAACACATAAACTGGTTCCCATAAGTAGTGTGTGCATTTAAAATTTAAAAAAAAGTCTTGAGACGAGACTTGACTTGGAAAAAAACTGGCTTGGGACTTGACTTGACTTGTGAAAATTTGACTCGAGACTTGACTTGACTTGGAAACAAATTGACTTGAGACTTGACTTGCTGAAATTTGACTTGGGACTTGATTGACTTGGAAAGAAAATGACTTGGTTACAACTCTGATACTTTCCTTGCACCCTTCAAACTCCCCTGTGAACTCGAGTTTTGACAATTTCTATTACTGTGTTTTGAAAAGGTCGATTTTCTTCTGGGACAAAGCTTGGGCGGAGCCATGCTGTGGGCTGTAGATTTAGACGATTTCAACGGGAACTGTGGAGAGACATGGCCGCTGATGAAAGCCATCAACCGCGGACTTACTTTAGGTAGGCGTATTTCCGATTCTGTGACCAGCTTTAGAAACAGTGAGGGCATGCTTTGCAACAAACGTTTTCAAAACAAATAGGTAGTTTGCTTAAGGTTCAGGCAAAAGATTATTCACCAATTAGTTTGATGCATTTCTGTACAACAAATTCAAGAATATGGGGTGAAAGTTTGTTCATGTATTTTGGCTAAAATTAATGATTAATCAGTTATCAAAAAATTGCAATAGAACACTTTTTAATGGTTTATGTGTGTGGTTCTTAAGTCCCGATTTCTTTATTGTTCTGTCTTACTTAAAATTTCTTTTGAACCTTCTAAAATGCTGAATACACTTGGTATCGATGCAGTGACCGACGAAGAATCTCCTGCAGAAACACGTCAAGCCAGTACCCCATTCACCTGCCTAGGCATATCTGATGGTTATTACGTGGACCCAAGCAGCTGCAGGATGTACTACATCTGCAACAACGGAGTCGCAAGCCATCTTCCATGCGGGCAAGGCCTATATTTTGACCCGCAGTCCGGTACATGCAACTACCCTGAAAACGTCCAGTGCAACGTTCCGGACACACCGCTCTTCTGTGATGACCGCGCCGACGGATTTTACATGGACCCAGCCGACTGCAGCAAATTCTTTCAATGTGCCTCCGGCCTGACGTACCCAAATTCCTGCCTATCGGGTCTCTTGTGGAACACTGACAGCAACTTCTGCGACTGGCCTGGTAATGTCAACTGTAACCAGTCCGTTGTCTTCTCGTGTCAGGACCGAGGGCATGGTTATTACGGAGACCCGTACGACTGTGCGGGGTTCTACCACTGCGCTGTTGGCAAGGCGTACCGGTATAGCTGTGGGCACCTGTACTGGAATGCACTAATTGGTGGTTGTGACAACCCTGCCAATGTGCAGTGCATACTAGCTTAGAGGGATATATTCAGTCTCACTTTGAACTACAGTCTTCCGTAAATCATTTCAAACAAAACATTGAGTTTAGGCCTATGTTAGCAATACATTATACTTTTTTGTGGTAATGAATTTCTCATTTTAGGATCATGGTGCCAATGGGTTGTATTTTTATCACGATGCAAACTTTTTAAAATTTGCATTAGAGATGAAACAATAATCGTTTGTATCCTATTTAATTTCATAAAGGTCCTTACATTAAATCATTCCAATTAAAAGAAATTAATTGACCTTGCTGTGACTTGTTGATGTTCAAATTGACCGCAAGCTCAAGGTAGTCTTGCTCATTTCCCTCGAAGACCTCAATCAATCCTTCTCGATCTACCTGGGACTCTTGCGTAGCGCCCACGAGCTGCCATTTCCCCCCTCTCCCCCCCCAAAAAAAATATGCGTATAAAACTGTAATGAAAGCTTGTTTTCGAAAAACATCGGCGAAGTGATTTCCTGTGCCAAAAAGTGAACCGTATTTATGTCTCTAACATTCTGAAGGAAATAAAAGTTTAATCATACAAAAAGGACTCTTTCTCTATGTTTTAACAGAGCGTTTTTAGATTGCGCAAATTAGAGAAATACCTGCCCCAAAATGAACTTGAATGACTAAACACACGCCTCAAAAGTCTCTTGCTAATTTGAATGCTGTTTTGTTGAATTGTTACATTGGATGGATATTTTGGTAATCGAATGACGCAATAGAAATTTTCCCTAGTCATAAAACGAAATAGAATGACCATTTTTAGCAGCATTAAATTTCGCGCGAAAGAGAATGGCGCTGTGGTATATTTATAAAATTGGCTGCTCTTTTGCCGAAATTGATCTGGAAAACATATAGTAAAGGTTTTCCCGCACATTAAATTAAAACTCATAAACGGTTTACTTCATTTTCGTCTTAAAAATTCATGAGTTTCGCAAAAATAGCATTCGAATTCATCTTGATAGTGGCCAATTTGAAGCGACGTAGCGTCCTGCTGTCATTCCCGTGGTTCGTATTAGATTTCAGGCGTTCAAATTCGTTTTAAGACCTGATATTTTCATGTTTAACATTTGAAGCATTCCATTACACATTTTAATCATGCAATTTTAACAACAGGGCATTCAAATTAAAATTGCACAAACGAGCATCCAAATTCGCCGGAGCTTCCAGCTGTGTAAGTTTGGTCATTCAAATTCACCATTAAGCAGGCATTTGTGAAAAGTAAGCAAAATGAATTCGAAATGGGTTTATGTCATTCCGTTGTTTGTTAGAATTAGATGGAGTGCCTTTGTTCCAATTTGGAAGTATGGATATAAAAACCTGTCTCCAACAAGATTCTGCCAATACTCTGATCACCGTGCAAACTGTTAGCTTGAAGCACTAGAAATATCAACATGGCAGCTTATGGGCGTTACATGAGAATTTCAAATGTAGATGCTTGGCACGGCAAGAGATCGATGGCTAACAGACCTGCAGGAGACAGTATCCTCATCATTCCAAAATAAAGAGCGACAAAAAAAGGGACTCTAAGATGATTAAACATCTAAAAAGTTAAAGAGATATAAACAAATATATATAACCAAGATCACAATTGAAAACAGAAGATCAAAAACCCAAAGATAAAGAATTAAGAACATATAGACTTATGTGAACACGGTAAAAAAGATGGGAAAACATCACCTACGTTTACTGTTGCCTATAAGTTTGTTGTTTCATATATTTATAAATAGGTTTTCCCGGCCAGTTTCGCAAAAATAGCATTCGAATTCATCTTGATAGTGGCCAATTTGAAGCGACGTAGCGTCCTGCTGTCATTCCCGTGGTTCGTATTAGATTTCAGGCGTTCAAATTCGTTTTAAGACCTGATATTTTCATGTTTAACACATCCTAAATTGAAGTTATGTCATTCGGTTTAAATGATCATTCAATTTAGCAGTCGGTTTGGTTTAGGGTTATTTGCATCAGATTCTTGTTTTCGTTTTCATTTCCGCGCATTCTATTTAGCACTTTTTGCATTCAAAATAAAAGTAAACGAAAGTAGACGATGCGAGTTTTTTCATTTCTTTCACCCTTTCAAGTTTTGTTTCTGCTTCAGATCGTGGTCCATTTTTGTTTTTCTGCCCCCCCCCCCCCTCTTGACAGGTTTTTCTGTCTGCCAGATCTGAGATACGTTGCTACATTTGACCTGTCAGTTTATGGCAAGCTTGTCTGCAAGTTCAAAATAGTCTTGGGCATTGCCATCGAAAGCTTCGATCAAACGACCAAGGTCTACATTTGAATTCTCATGAAACGCCCATGAGCCGGCATATTGATATTTCTAGTGCTTCGATCTAACAGTTTGCATGGTGATCAGCGTTGTCGCAGAGTCTTGTTGGAGGTTTTTATATCTATATTTCCAAACATGGGCGTCCCCAGGATTTTTTTTCTAGAGGGGGGCAAAACATATTTCCCCCCAAAATGCCTGTATTTCCCATCATATTCTCGATTTATCAGTTTTAGAGGGGGCACGGACATTCCCCCAAACCATTGAATTTACAGCAATATGACTTCGCGCCTCTTTTTCTTTTCTTTTTCCCCCTCTTTTTTGTGTTTTTTTTCTTGGGAGGGGGGGGGGAGAAGGTGCCCCCTGCTCCCCCCCCCCCCCGTGACGCCCATGTTTCCAAATTGGAACAAAAGCACTCCATCTTATTCTAACAAACAACGGAACGACATGGACCTATTTCGAATTACTTTGCTTACTTTACACACATGCTTGCTTAATGGTGAATTCGAATGACCAAACTTACACAGCTGGAAGCTCCGGCGAATTTGGATGCTCGTTTGTGCAATTTTAATTTGAATGCCCTATGGTTGAAATTGCATGATTTAAATGTGAAATCGCATGCTTTTAATATGAAATTGTTGGTGTTTTAGGTAATTGAATGTTGATCTCAACGTGCATTCAAATTCGTGCGAAAATGGGTGCTTGGTCACCAATTTGGCCGCCAAATCTCCCAACTTGGCTGGGAAAACCTATGTTTAGTTATGCCCCCTTTTTGTTTAATTTGTTTACATTTTTACTTCTTTAGAATAAAGAGACAGATAGTAGACACTTTGAACAAAATTGAAACGGAAAAGCAGAAATGATATAAAAAGGTAGAAGAAATAAAAAGACTCTAGTCGTAGGACTATGCCTTCGTTTTATTTTAATGTTTTTGAATGCAAAAAGTGCTAAATAGAACGCACGGAAATGAAAAAGAAATCAAGAGCTCATGCAAATAACCCTTGACCAAACCGACTGCTAAATTGAATGATCACTTAAACCGAATGACATAACTTCAATTTAGGATGAGTTAAACATGAAAATGTCAGGTCTTTAAACGAATTTGAACGCCTGAAATCTAATACGAACCACGGGAATGACAGCAGGGCGCTTCTCCGCTTCAACTTGGCCACTATCAAGATGAATTCGAATGCTATTTTTGCGAAATTGGCCGGGAAAACCTGTATTAAAGTTGGGAAAAATTTAAAGAGTCTATTATACACAATCCCCTCGAGTATTTTAAAGACAATATATTGCAGAACAGAAATAGGACGGTATTTGCAGATATCATGCAGTGTCGCCACTTTTAAAGATAGGAGTGACTTTAGCAATATTCAGACTCAATGGAACGATACCGGAAGACAGAGATGAATTCAAAATACGAGCTGGAGAAGCAGAGATGAGAGAAATTACAGATTTAACAACCGATGAGCGGAGATCGTCAAATCAGTGACTACCACTGTTTAGATTTGTACCAATCTCGGTTATCTCAGAACAACTGGTATAGGTAACAGAAAAAGAGAGGAAGGATTAGTATTCTGAAGATAATCCGTGAAGAGAGCGTATAGTCGGTGGTATTTTGTTAGCAAGTGAAGAGCCGATGTTAGTAAAGTAGGTGTTGAAAGAATTAGCTATAATATCCAGATTAGAAACCGTTTGATTTACCAACAGAGTAATTGTCCGGGATTGAGACCTTTCTTTCCTTGCCAAGGATCTTAATGATTTCACGCCAAGTGCTTTTCACGTCGTTTTTACATTTGTCCAACTTCTTGGCATAGTGTATTTCTTGGCAGGCGTCGTCAGACATTATGTAGATGATCATCAGGTGAGACGAATTCCACTGAAATCTGACGACATCGAATGGACAAATGTTGAAGTTGATTGCCCATTAATCATTTGGAATGACCAATGATTAAATCGTCGCATTTGCGCGTTCCAGTCTTCTTGAGACGAAATTGAAGTTAAACGTTTATGAACTGGAATGAAAAAAATACAATGTGCGGGAAAACCATAGAGCTATATTAAATTACGCATTCTGTCATTAAATAACACACTACTGGCATTGTTTTTATACTATGTTAAGACCCTGAGTAAACCTTTTCAAAATGGGGGCCAGATAATGGGAAATTCTTAGAAAACACAAAAAAATCCTATTTCGTTGCAACAAAGAGCATTTGTCATTAAATAACGCACTCTGCGAAGAAAAAGCGATTAACACACATCCACAATTAAAGAGAAACAGACACAATACGATTACGATTGGACTTGGAACAAAAATGTCTCGAAGAAACGTTTGAATAAAACAGCGAGACTACCTCTATCAGACAGGAAGGAAGCTCAAATCCACATGCGAGGGGCAGCCACAACGAAATAGCTATCTCCGGCCTTCTTCCTACTTCTAGGGACAGAAAGCTAAGCCGGGTCTGATCAGATGATGAGCGGAGTCGGTGTCTGCAAGCATCAGTAATATTTGAGTGATGTGAAAGCAATAGGTCAGCCAGATAATTATGATGGAGCTTGAGCGTTGAGAATTTTGTATAAGGGTGAAGATTTTGAAGGCTATCCTCTGTTTAACAGGTAGCCAATGTAGCTCTGCCAGCAGGCCCTCAGAAGGCTGGTCCCGGCCGCATGCGTAGACCAGCCGAGCAGCCTTGTTTTGTAGGCGATGTAACCGTTTGTGATCATTTTCACGAGCACATACCAAAAGAGAGTTGGGGTAACGTCGAAGTGCGCTATACATACGTCAGGGAACACCACTACAATCTGGAGATCTGTACAAGAACACTGAGCTAAATAAGTCATGGAACTTCAGCATACACTTTACCCATTAACCTGACTGCATATGGATACGAAAACAAAACATAAACTAAACCCTTGGACATCTTTCCCTCCAACTTTTTGCCCCTCGAAATTCGCGGCCATTGCAACACACGGCGGCCATCTTGACTATTTT